TACACTTTGCCAACGCAAAGTAGTGAGTGTACAGCTTGTATATCAGTGTACATTTGATGTCCCCGCAAAATAACTCAACACACAGCCATTAATGTCTAAACTGCTGGCAACAAAAGTGAGTACAACCCCAAGTGAAAAATGTCCAAATTGGGCCCAAAGTGTCAATATTTGGTGTGGCCACCATTATTGACCAGCACTGCCTTAACCCTCTTAGGCATGGAGTTCACCAGAGCTTCACAGGTTGCCACAGGAGTCCTCTTCCACTCCTCCATGACGACATCACGGAGCTGGTGGAGGTTAGAGACCACCTTCCATTTGAGGATGCCCCACAGATGGTCAATAGGGTTTAGGTCTGGAGACATGCTTGGCCAGTCCATCACCTTTACCCTCAGCTTCTTTAGCAAGGCAGTGATAGTCTTGGAGGTGTGTTTGGGGTCGTTATGTTTGAATACTGCCCTGCGGCCCAGTCTCCGAAGGGAAGATATCATGCTCTGCTTCAGTATGTCACAGTACATGTTGGCATTCATGGTTCCCTCAATTAACTGCAACTCCCCAGTTCCGACAGCATTCATGCAGCCCCAGACCATGACACTCCCACCACCATGCTTAACTGTAGGCAAGACACGCTTGTCTTTGTACTCCCCAACTCGTTGCCGCCACACAGGCTTGACACCATCTGAACCAGTTCATCTTGGTCTCATCAGACCACAGGACATGGTTCCAGTAATCCATGTCCTTAGTCCGTTTGTCTTCAGCAAACTGTTTGGGGGCTTTCTTGTGCATCATCTTTAGAAGAGGCTGCTTTCTGGGATGACAGCTACACAATTTGATGCAGTGTGCGGCGAATGGTCTGAGCACTGACAGGCTGACCCCCCACCCCTTCAACCTCTGCAGCAATGCTGGCAGCACTCATACGTCCATTTCCCAAAGACAACCGCTGGATATGAAGCCGAGCATGTGCACTCAACTTCTTTGGTCGACCATGGTGAGGCATGTTCTGAGTGGAACCTGTCCTGTTAAACCGCCGTATGGTCTTGGCCACTATGCTTCAGCTCAGTTTTAGGGTCTTGGCAATCTTCTTATAGCCTAGGACATCTTTATGTAGAGCAACAATTCTTTTTTTCTGATCCCCAGAGAGTTCTTTGCCATGAGGTGCCATGTTGAACTTCCAGTGACCAGTATGAGAGAGAGAGAGAGAGAGAGCGAGCGATAAACACAAATTTAACACACCTGCTCCCCATTCCCACCCGAGACCTTGTAACACTAACGAGCCATATGACACCGGGGAGGGACAATGGCTAATTGGGCCCAATTGGGACATTTTCACTTTGGGGTGTACTCACCTTTGTTGCCAGCAGTTTAGACATTAAATGGCTGTGTGTGGAGTTATTTTGAGGGAACAGCAAATGTACACTGATATACAAGCTGTACCACTACTTTACATAGTAGTAAAGTGTAATTTCTTCTGTGTCGTCACATGAAAATTATAAAATACAATATTTACAAAAATGTGAGGGTGTACTCACTTCTGTGAGATACTGTATATACACACACATACATATATGTACAGGGCTTGAAAAATTTGATGGTGTCTCACCAGTCAGTCAAAAATGTCACCAGTCAGCATGACCGGACTACAGCCTTGCAATATATGTTAACATTTTTTGGGGACAGATAGAGGGCCAAAAACTGACATCCGCAGAGGCCTCGCTTCGGAAAAGCCTACCCTCTCCTCCAAGAGGGGGTCTTCAAGGGATGGGTCAAACCCTATGCGTACAGCACTGCCCTGTACAGGCACCCAGCAGCTAACCCCAACGCGTTGCACCAAGGTGGGCAGAGCCACAACCGTGCGGTACCGATCCAGAAGCTGCAGGGTAGCTGCCATTGCAGAAGAATCATCAAGAAAGAAGGTAATTAACTACCACACAAATCCCTCAGTAGAGAGGGGATGTCCATTGCCTAGGGACACTAGCAAAAAACCAAGAATTTGCTGGAGGGTGTGGGGTTATACAAGGGTCCTCACAGCTCTGGCCAGTGTCCAATCACCTGGTGATAACATATTACCCAGTCATCTCTGAATTGCTTGTGTCCTGCACTATATGATCAAGAAATGTTCGTTTTGTAAAACAAAAAAATTATTCCGTAGCCAGCAAGAAAACGTACCGTATTAGCAGCTTGGCTAACTGCAAGTGCACATGATATCTCTGCTGCCCCACCACCATAAACAATTCGATTATCTCGTACTAAATTACGGATGACACACAGAGCATCATGAAGGGAGCGCTTCGCTTCTTCAATGATCTGTAAATGAAGGAAAAAATAGGTCATAAAAAAATACAAGCATTTCTTAAGAGCAGTTTGCAATTTACTACCAGCAGAGTAAAATTTAAATGGAAAGTCAAAACTGGAACTCGCTACCAGCATAAGTAAAGCTGGTCATACACCAGTAGAAATTTGTTTGAGGAATTTGTTTCATTTTCTAAAACTTTGTGGGGTCAAATTGATTGTTTTTTATTACTACAGTCAAAACCAAACAGAAAAAAAAAAGATTAAAAAAAAAAAAGGAGTAGAATGTCTCTCAAATTAATGTAAATCAGTGTATGACCATCTTTTCCCACAAGTTTCTTGTAGCTCTCTCTACCTATCCTCTCAAAGTCTTGCTTTTCCTGCTGAAACAGTATGCACCTGCATTTTTCCTAGCAGCTTTATATACAAATGGATTTTGATTTTTTAAAAGTCTGTCTTAACACTGGCCTTATATGCAATGCAACGCTTACACTTGGAAAAGGAGAGTAAGCTCTAAACAATGCACAGTGCCGTCAAGTCAACAGGTTAAACACATCCTTTAGAGAAATGAAAGGTCACTAACCTGGCTTAGCTATCTTCCTGACAGACTGGCAAAAACAAATACAAACCATTTAACCCCTTAGCGATGGGAGACATACACTGTACGTCCCCATCACTAAGTGCCCAAATGATTGCTATTTAGGACTCCGGAATTCCGGTAACCACTGAGATCAGCGGTTACCATTCATTAATGGATGCCTCACTAACGAGGCATATATTAATGAAAGATTTAACCAGTTTCAGACACCCGATCACTGTGTCCGACAGTGATAGGAGTGCAGAGTGAACAGCACTTCCTATCACTGTTAGGCAGCCGTACACATAGGGATTAGAAAATCCTGATGTGCATCGGCATTTTGCTGAATACTTCAGCATAGAAGCGTTCAGAAAAAGCCAAAAGCTGCCTGTCTCAGGCATCTGATTGTTGTGGCAACCAGCTACAACGGATCAGAAGTCTTTAGTGACATCCGAGTTATAACCACTGGCTTGTCATATCGTTCCCCCCTTCTTTCCCTGTCAGCAATAACTGACCGCTAGAGAAGTTAAAATATGAAAAAGTAAAAATCATTTAGTTTTATACTAGCATTATAAACCTTATCCCCTCACAATGAAAATCTGCAGCTGAGCAGATGTTTTTCACCCTAAGGGGTTCATTTTTTAAATGTAACCCCCTCATGACAGCAATGTTCAAAGTATGTCACTGTCACTAAGGCCCCAGTCACACTGAGCGACATGAAAATCACGCGATTCTCAGCGCGATTTTATATGTGCGATACTGCGCGACTTGGCGCGCAACTTTTTCCTATTGGGCAATCAGGAGAAAAATCGCTCGAAATCCGCAGAAAAAAGGGTCATGTAGGAGCGACAAGCTACAAGCGATATTGAGCGGCGAGATGCGAACAGCTCCATTGAAATGGATTGGAGAAGCTACATAGAGCGATATCGCGTGGAAATATGCGCGATAAAATCGCTCAGTGTGAATGGGGCCTTAGTGACACGTCGTGATAGTGACATTGTATGTAACCTGTCTAACCTGGTGACCACTATTAGCTTTTAGAGGAAAAAATAAAATAAAAATGTCAGCTTTCAATTTAAGGCTGAGAAGTACAAAAAAAAAAATGTCTGAAATCCTAGGCATGCAAGGTTTTTCAAAATAAAAGGACCAAGTATTTTATTGCATTTTTTTTAGCAGTGCAAGGCTTCTAAAATAATAAATAAAAAAAAAAAGTTAACTGGGGAAAAAGCACAGGGGTGTGGAAATTTTTGAAAAAACGTATCCAAGGACTAAAGCGGGTGCCGAATCTACTTGTCCTGATACAAAAACATTTTTTTTAACCAAAACCGTATTTAGCAGTGCTAAGAAGCGCTTCTCATGATCAGTGCGGTCAGGTGACCGTGTTGACCAACGAGTGCTTGCAATTTGCGAGCGAAATTCATAATACATGGAACAGGTACAGATAGTAGACCCGTACTGGTGGACAGGAAGGACCGTTCGCCGAAAGGTAAGTATAGTGGGAGGGAGATTTGTGCGGGTAATTCCATTTTCCCAAATTACTTAGGAAAGTAAATTTACTCTTAAGGGTTGGTGCAGACTTGGGGTTTCCCGGGACATGCGATCGCTGAAAAAAAGGTAGATGTACCTATTTTTTTCACAACATGCACCGTGATCATGTCGGATCGCCCGGGCGGTATTGCAGCAGGAAAACGCGCAATCTGCCTGGCACGACTGGGGTGTCACTAGAAAATAATGGCACTGACAGCACGATCGGCGGTGGTGTGCGATTCCGTGACCACCAAGCCATCCTCTCGGTTTCGTGCACGATGACCGGGCAGTCACGGATCGCACACCACTGCCAATGGGGTGCCATTATTTTCTAATGGCACCCCAGTCGTGCCAGGCAAATTGCGCGTTTTCCTGCTGCAATATCACCCTGCCCGTGCGGTTGCACACGATCGCAGTTGAAAACACTGCACGTTTATTCACATGCAGATGGGCGC